TGGGTTCTTAAGGTAGACCCCAAAGCTTTTATAATGCCTCAGCGCTAAACCCCTAAACTCCTAAAACCTTTAGCCTTAACTGTCCCGTAACCCTGAACCTCATCAGTCCCTAAGGCTTAGCTAAGCCCTGGCACGCAACCTCTAAGTTAAAAGCCCTAGAAGCCCTGTGTTCTAAACCTCATGAGCCCCAAACCCAAGCCCTAAACCCAAGCCCTCAACCCTAAACCTTATATACGCTCTCAGCCCTAAACTCTACGCACCCAAAAAGCCCGAAGTCCTAAATGCCCAAAGCCGCAAGCCCCCTATCCCCTTTTAGCCTTAAGCTTTGAAGCCCTGCAAGGCCTAGGGCATAAGCGCTACCGCCCGAAACCCCAGACGCAGAATTTAGGGTTTAGGGGTTTAGGATTTAGGGGTTTAGGGTTTAGGATTTAGGGCTTAGGGTTTAGGGTTTAGGGCTTAGGGTTTAGGGTTTAGGGCAGAAGGTCACCGGCGCCTTGCCCTATGCCGTGAAGAGGGTTCTGGACGATCCTGAGATGCCTCAAGCGGCGAGGAGGGCCGGACTCTCAGAGTTTAGGGTTTAGGGTTTAGGGTTTAAGGTTTGGGGCCTATAGGGGTTAAGGGTTTAGGGTTATTTAGGGGTTTAGGGTTATTTAGGGGTTTAGGGGTTTAGGGTTTAGGGGTTTAGGGGTTAGGGTTTAGGGGCTCGAGGGCCTGCCCATAGGCCCTAAAGTACTTCCTTTTTGGGGTTTAGGGTTTAGGGTTTAGGGTTTAGGGTTCATTTGTAGGAGTCTATATGTGAACCCCAAAAGGGAACTACTGTGGGGCCTATTGGGTATCGGGTCTGGGATTGCAACGACGACGACGACTACTACTACTCCTACTACTACCACTGCCACTACCACTACCGGGCAGAATCTCAGAGGCTTAGGGCTTATCGGGAAAAAGGGGTTTTGGGTTTCGAAGTTCAGGGTTTGAGGCGTTTGTTGTTCTTGGGGGTTTAGGTTGTCAGGGTTTGAGGAGCTTATTGTTTAGGGTTTCGGGGTTTGAGGAGTTTATTGTTTAGGGTTTAGGGTTTCTGGGTTTGAGGAGTTTATTGTTTAGGGTTTAGGGCTTCAGGGTTTGAGGTGCTTATTGTTTAGGGTTTAGGGTTTCGGGGCTTGAGGAGTTTATTGTTTAGGGCTTAAGGCTTCGGGGTTTGAGGAGTTTATTGTTTAGGGTTTAGGGCTTCAGGGTTTGAGGTGCTTATTGTTTAGGGTTTCAGGGTTTGAGGAGTTTGTCGTTTAGGGTTTAGGTTTTCAGGGTTTGAGGAGTTTATTGTTTAGGGTTTAGGGTTTCGGGATTTGAGGCGTCTATTGTTTAGGGTTTAGGGTTTCGGGGTTTGAGGAGTTTGTTGTTTAGGGCTTCAGGGCTTGAGGAGTTTATTGTTTAGGGTTTAGGGTTTAGGGTGCAGCGGGGCCGGTTGTCGGCAAGGGGCAGAGGTTGGCTGTCGCTGGGCTGGGATCCGAGAGGATCAGATGGGGCTGGCAAAACCACTGTGGCCATTCCGTAGCCCTTACCCTCAAAGGACTCATATTTTAAGGCTTTTGGGCCCAAAGACCGTGTTATATACGGCTTCTGGGCTATTTTGATGCTAAGGGCAGGAGTTACCAAAATCATCAGATACTGTAGAACCGCACCAACCCAATGCTAATTAGTCATGCATGCCCTTATGCCCTGCAGCTTGTAGTTCTTTATTCAAGCAGCCCTCCAACGGAACCCCATGCTAATCAAATAATGCCGTAGGGCCTTAGGCCCAAACCACAGACTAAACCCGAAACCCCAAGCCACCTGAACCCTAAACCTTAAATCCCAAGCCCAGACCTGTAAACCCGTCCACGACGCTAAGCCCTAAACCCCAACCCTAATTCCTTAACCAGTCCTGAACCCTAAACTGTAAGAACCCTAACCGTATATCAACCCATCCGCGACCCCCAGGTGAAAGATCGAGCCGTGGACATTGCGTGGCCCGAGGTTCAAGAGCAGATCGCACTGGAGATGGAAACTGGCCTAAAGCCGTCGGGTATTGTTTTATTAAAACAATAAGATATACCCTAAATCCAAGTACGGACTTGAGAGTTTTAGGGCCTGAGGCTGCAATGTTGTTTTTACTGACTTTTTTGCGAGGATTTTCGAACGGTGGAACACTGAATCATAGTACTGGCAAGCACCACTACACAAGGGCTATACTGCCCCCGCTGGGCCTCTAGCTATGGAATGTCATCAAGGTGTCTACCCACAATGTAGGTTCCACTTCGACTGGCATTTCATGATAGTACAAGGAAGCGTACTCACAAAGAGCCCTCGATTCAAGCCTTAGCCGAGGTTTTTGTCAGGTGCCACCCGATTTGCGCATGTAATCCCAAGGGTTTGCCCTTACTTCTCAACGAGTAGGAAATTACTGTAGGGGCCTAAAGAACTACCAACATTTTGGGGCGGCTTCCTTCAAGTTATAGTATGGTGGGCGCCAAAACCTCTTTCGATTCTAATTATTAAGGCACCTTAAACCCCTAACCCCTAAACCCTAAACCCTAAGCCCTAAACACTAAACCTCACAAGTGAGAAAGAACCTTCGAAACACCCTCCCAGCTCCCAACTGTCGAGCCCAGGAACATGGGTTCACGGACTTGCGTGATGCTCTGAAAGAGCTCGCCGGGTCCTTCGTCGAAATATGGGAACACAGTTTAGGGTTTAGGGTTCAGGGTTTAGGGTCTAGGGTTTGGGGTTTGGGGTTTAGGGTTTAGGGTTTAGGGTTTAGGGCGGGCACATGTAATGTAGACCCTGTGCGAGCCGACACTTTTTCTTCAAGGGCTTCACTGCTCAAAAGCACATTTTACAGACCCAATTCACGCATGCATTTAGGGTTTAGGGTTTAGGGTTTAGGGTTTAGTGGGCGCTAGTAATCAGCGCCCCGCGCCCTACAGCCACTTGGGGAGGCGAGGTGTGCTTCGCGCACTTCCTAACCTGAATGCGGAGCCCTGAACTCAGATACCCTAGGGTGTAGGTTCTAATTAGGGTTTAGGGTAGAGCTTAGGGACCCCATATCCATCTACAGTAAATGCATACCTGTAGCCGGTTCTGGGTTGCTGTTTTTTTTTTTCGGGGGGAGAGGGGATGGGGGGTTAAGCCCATGTCCTAATCCCTGAACTCCGATATGAGCCCAGCAATCTGAGGCAAAAGAACCCCGAGGATGACAAGCCTGCCTACTGCTGTCTGATTGCATTCCTCAGGCGGGCTCAGTCGTCGTGATATAAGGTTTAGGAACCCGAAACCCTAAACCCTCAACCCTAAACCCTATCAGGGTTTTGGGACGAGGGCACCCTAAGCCCTAAAGCCAAAGCATTTGAGGTTTAAGGTTCAGGGATTTGGAGGTTTGGGGTGTTGCATTCAGGATTTACTGGTTTAGGGCTTGGAGTTTGAGGTTTAGGCTTCTCAGATCTAAACCCGAAGCCCTAAACCCTAAAACCCTAAACCCTAAAACCCTAAACCCTAAAACCCTAAACCCTAAACCGTAAACCTTAAACTAAGTTGTGCTTGATCCTTGCCTTTCGGTCGAATTAATTACGTGGACGTCGAGGCTGCACATCATGTGTGCGGTTTAGGGTATAGGGATTTAGACTATTTAGGCTTAGGGGTTTAGAATTTTAAGGCCTAGGGGTTTAGGGCGTTAAGGTAGAAGGATGTAGGGCTTCAGGGTTTTGAGGTTTTCGGGCTTGGGGTTTGAGGGTTGTGTGTGCGCAGGTACCATCTGTATCCCTATGACCGTGGCCTCTGGGGCGTGTCTACCGATCCGGTCTGGGTGCTTACCGTCCTCCTATCAGTGCAACTGGGCCTGATGACGGTGCGGCTTTGGGTTTTGCGTTGTAAGCGTCTACCTAGAAATGTCGTACTTTTTTTGGATGACATGTGTTATGGTTATAAGATCCTATCATCAGAAACTCAGGCAACCAAAGCGAGGTACTACGTTTAAGGGTCTGGGGAGGGTCCTGGGGGTGAGTCCCGCGCTTAGAGTGTAAACACCCCCAACCCTGAATCACAAATGTTTCAGGATCGCCCGGTCGTATGGTCTACCACAAAGCCCTCAGTCAAGAACAGCTTTCTCTCTCTGCATATTGTAGAGGGTCCACGTAGGCGTCTTTGGTTCTTTAAACGGTTTCGTGCCTGTTGGTTCTTATAGGGGGGTTTGGGGTATACGGTTAAGTAGCCAGCTGCCACATCTTCAAATCGAGCACGCCGTCCTAAACCGTGAGTCCTTTCAGTTTGAGTTTAGGGAACACACAAACCTCAGTAACGTCCTTCTTCAGGTAGGGGGTCATTAATTAAACAGGCTTTCAAACCCTAAGCAATAAGCCCTGCCTAAGATCTTGGCACTCTGAACCCCTCAGCCTCTTCACAAGCGTCCGAATATTGGGTTTTTGAGACTATGTTCAGTGTTAGGGTTCATGGTTTTGGGGGTTTGGGGTTTCGGGTTTAGGGTAATCCTCTCCACCCTTGAAACCTTAGCTGCAGGTTTTCGTTTCTATACCCTACACTGAAGCATGGGCGCTTCGGACCTTCTCCAACCCTAGACCCTAAAACCTTAGCTAAACCCTAAACTCTAAACCCTAAACCCCTAAAACCCTCAAACCCTAAAACCCTAAACCCTAAACCCTACAACCCTAAAGCCCTAAAACCCCAAAGCCCTAAAACCCTAAAGCCCTAAACCCTAAACCCTAAACCCTAAAGCCCTAAACCCTAAAACCCTAAACCCTAAAACCCTAAACCCTAAACCCTAACTAGCTTCTATAACCCTACCTTAACCTACCAAAACCCACCTTTTTGTAGGTTTGTATTATAAACC